TGCTTAGACCAGAAGCAGCTTTTTCAGCCGCGGACGTGCCCAGTCAGCACGTCCGCGCTGACACCCTCTGCAGTCTGCACCACTGAATTTTTTGCAGACAAGATTTCGGTGAAATATTTAATTATGCGGCCATGCTGACTCAGCACGGCCGCTATAGAATGAGAAACACCTCATTTTAGAGGTGTATTTGACGGTTATTTTTTTTAAATACAAATATTCTAAGGAATTAGCCAATTGTACCGGACACACCAAAGGATACTCTAATTGGTTAAATCATGCTCCCATATACGAAAATGAAAATCAAAAGTCACGTTTGATTCTTCGAGACTCCAGTTATTAATTACATAGACATAGAGATTGCTTGGTTATTAATTACATACATGTCCAAGAGAATCAAGACTTCCCTCAAAAACAAAAACAAAACAAAAAAAAGAGAATCAAGGCTCAAATTGCATACAGTGCTTGGTTATAAAAAACTGCAAGTTCAGGTCAAAAATTTCCTCTCTGCGAGTTCAAGTCACAATTTTCCCAACAGGATCATGAGTTGTGGCTGAAATGGGGCAGGAACGGTTGTCAGTGACAACTGACAACCGTTCCTGAAGGTTTACGGCCACGATGTGGCCTCAAAAATTTGTGCGGCTCAAATTACACCATGTAACTCGATTTTCACGCCATGTGTGGGACCCACAAAAAAGTGTTGTAAAATTACATCGTGTACAAAGTAAGTTACATCGTGTACAATGGAAGTTATGCGCCGTGAAAAATGAATACAACCCGCACAAACGATTGCACCTGCAACCGTTTGTGCCCCTTGTCCTGAGTTGGCCTAATCAATTGAATTAGTCAAATAGAGCACCGAGATTCTGAGAAGATAATTGGCAGGACACGTGAGGGAGCATCAAATCCACCAAATAGCTACTACTATTCTTGTATATAGAGAATAGAGGTGGCAAAATGGGCGGGATGGGCGGGATTTGCTTGGGTTTGAGATGGAACCGAGTCATATGGGTTTGGGTCCAACCTTACCCATATGTGTTTTGGGACTAACTTGGGCGGGATCATTTTGGGATGGGTTTAGATTGTATATAATTTTAATATTTTTGATTTATTAAATTTCTTTTAGTTTTATTAAATAAACATGCAAGTGCTTTATACTCAAGATTCCCACCAAAAATTGGATTAACAAATAAAGGAAAAGATAGATATACAGCCATATTCCAACATATATCAAGATGGCCAAGGTCCTTAGGATGTTGAATATTTATCCTTATCATTGTCCAAGGATGACAGGTCTAAACTAACTGAAATGCTGGAAATTCTTGTGGATAATGACTAGGAAGACTACTAGATTATATTCGCTAGTATGACTATAAAAATTGTTAAAGATAATTTTTGAATCTAAGATTCCGTTTGGATTGACTTTTTTTTCAAAAAATAAGTTTTTCAAATACAATGTTACAGCAATATACAATAACTCAAGAAACATCCCATCCATATTAATATATCAAATATTTCAAAAAAAATTTATAGTAAAAATTTTTTATATACACTGCTACAATAAAATATTTCAAAAACACCTACCAAAAACAGCTAATCCAAACGGAGCCCTTGCCATTTGAGCCCAATGGGTACCCAAGTATTTCCCATCCTTTCCCATTCATTAATGGGTATAGTTGGGATGTGTCCCAACTTAAACCCAATACCAAATTATAATACCCATCCCGCCCAAAGTTCCTTTGGGCATGGGTAGCCCATTGGGACTTGGGACAAATTGCCAGCTCTAATAGAGAATTTAAGATAAGAGAAGAAAAGGGTGATTGACTCGGTGGTGGTCAGGTGGCACCACCGAGACAATCCACCAGTGCTGACACACTGAAATTTTAAGCAAAACAAACGAGGGACAATTAATCATAAAGGGATGAGCTGTGTTTGAACAGCCATTTTCCGTGGAAAAATTGTTACTTTTCTCGTGAACATATTTCTCTATTGTCTTTTTACCTCGTATACATCAAATCGTTACAGTATTTTTTCTACAAAAAATTCAGAAAAATGCAATCTTTGTGTGGATAGAGCATTGTAGCACTTTTTGTGATGTGATGTATGTGAGATAAAAAGGTGGTTGAGAATATAAAAAGGGGACGAAAGAGTTTCATATTTTTCTCACACAAAAAAAAAAAGAAAAAGAAAAAGAAATTAGGCTTCCAGCGCCTTTGAGTTTTCGTCTTCGCCGGTCAAAACCTCGGCTCCAGCAGGCAGTTACAAAGATTGACTTTGACCCATCTAAATATGTTTATGAAACTTCTGAAGTTGAGAAACTTGAAACTGAAAGAGTGGACACGGCCGGGTGTGGGGCGATGCACCTGAGTTGTTGACGTTCCCTATCCAATGGAATTATTCAAAATTTGACACTGCTAGTAGTAGAGTATTATTAACACTACTCAGTTTTCTATTTATAGCATTTCCGAGTTTTCATTTTTTAATGGTCGATCATTCAATCATGTTGTACCATTATTGTGGACGTGGGAGCAGGATTTGAATTTTGGACCTTAGTATTTTACTTGGTCGAAAGAACATGGGCCATAATTGAACATGGAAGCTTCTCTTATTTCTCTTGGTCTTCGGTTAAGACATTTTATAATGAATGGATGTATTTAAGATCAAGACTATTAATGCCATGGAATAAGATCAAGAATGGATGTATTTAAGGAAAAAGACTATTAATTGAGATGAGGTATACAATTGATCAAAACCAAAGAATCACTTTGCTTCACCCCCCGTTTTTTGTGAGTAGATGGGCACAACATAATAGTTGGATTGCTTATAGACGTGCTTGAACAAGACATAAGACATTTTGCTCAACTGGAAGACATCCAAATGCTAAAATCTATTTGTTTATGGAATGCTCATTCATTTAGCTGGATAGATCACGAATGTAATATGATAAGTAGAAGGATTAGTGTTTATGCTACTAAGTTAGTGCAAGATGAGGAATATCTAAATTCTCAATGTCTAAAAACATTCTTGTAATGCTCAATATGGGCATTTGCTCAAGTTCTATAGGTTGTTTTTTATATCAATAATATTTCTAACGTTTCCGTAAAAATATATATATAGATGTGCTTGATAGATATAGGTGTGAAAATGTGTGATTCGAATGAATTATAATCGAGTAATAGATGTAATTGGGTTAACTCATTTATAATGATTTAATAAATGGGTCAATCTATTTATACACATATAATATATTTAATCACCCATTTACTACTCATTTGAAATTGTACTTATTCTTTTTTTTTTTTTTGCATGTTGTTTGACAAAGGATAACGATATTTTATTGATATTAGTTTGGTAGAAAATTCAAATTTATCTGCTTAACATCTACTAAAATTTAAATTTAAATGTATAATTATTTTAAAATGGATATAAATGGATGAGCCATATCAACCACTATCCACTAATTACATAGGTTTAATCGGGTATTTATTTACACCCATTCGAAATTCATTGCATATTCAAATCCATTTATTAGTATATGAGTTTGTACGTATCAACATAATTGGATTATGATGAGTTTGGACGGATAAACATGATTGAAATGTAATTAACGCTTATATCAATAGCGGCGGACTGAAATTTATCCATCAAAATCCTGCAAACAGACAAAAATGCAGAGACAATCAACACCAAACATGAAACAACTAGCACCAACAAAAAAAAAATGAAGAAGAAGAAGAAGAAGAGACAACTAGGCGGGGTTGGAGACAGCAACAAGTATTTGCTCGTCAACTTCAATTGCTGAGTGGGTTATCCCGAGGGAGGAGAAGGCATCTCTCAAGGCCCAAAACTCAGCACCTGAGTTGGAAGTCCAGCCCACATTGCAGCGCCGTAAACAGCGTCTGCGGAACTTGAGTTAACTAATGATGACCCATCATTATGCGAACGAGTTATAAATATCCAGCGGTGACCCTCCGATCCAAAGGCATAACTAGTTGTACTATAGTCTTTCTTCTTTTGTTCAGCGGTTGTGGCCCTTTTGAAAGAAAATCATGCTACTTGCTCAATTGTGGATCCGTCAATTTATGTCTTTCCTACCTCCTGTCTAATTTGCAGGAAATTTACCATCCATTTTTCTCTAGTTCTCAATGATGTCAACATCATAAGATCAAGCATTTCTCGTGTCATGACTTTTGAGTACTGGACAAGTGTTAAGTAGTTTTTTGTTGCATGAAAAGATGTGAGAAACTGAAGAAAGTGAGTTATATTCTCCTTTGTAGTATATGTTTAGACGGCAAGAGAATTGAAAATTTTTCTTGCATTTTTCTACGGTAAGTGACCAACAACATTTGCAGCACGTTAAAGTAAAAATGGTTAGCTAGGTAGAAGAATTTGAATAACTGTCATTGATCATCATTAACTTATTGTTTTTTCTCAAATTTTTTCTAAGTAACCAAACAGAAATAGGAACTTTTCATTTTCCTTTTATTTCATTTTCTTGTAGTTTACTTTTCCACACAACTTTCCAACTATTCAAGTATAACCTTTTTTCGATTAAAAAAAAAAAAAGGAAAGATTTTGAATTTACAATCTCAAACCTACGATCCCATCTCTCATTACGACTCAATCCAACCTTCCTCCCCTATTCAAACATAACCTTAATGCTAGTTAAGTACATCAAAAACTTCAATTGCATGATCATATAATAAATTCATCATCGTGAGGGTAATTTTTTGCCAACTAGTGAGGAAAAGAAAAACCATTATTGTTATGGTAATCTTGATAAACGCCTTATTAGATTATTAATGCAGTACTAGTAGTGTGTTTACATCCGGTCATGGGTCTACCACTCACTCACTTTTAAGGCAATTTTGCAATTCACGAGAACATATACGTTAATGTAATTTTCTTCGCTGTCATTTTGCGAGCCAAAATATCAACGCAGTGCTAGTAATCTGCAACGCAGGAGAACAGATGCTTAAAATATTTCTTCTGCCCAGGGCATATGACGCAGCGGTTGAGAGATCCGCCTTGTGTTGCTGGTTTCTCCACTGACCAGGTTCGACTCGTGCCCGTTGTATTGCACATCCTGACTCGCCCAGAAAAGTTGTATGGAGTTGTTGGCTTCCCTCCGATTTGATCTGGGCATGTTTCGGATTACCAGAAATTTTTTTTTTTTTTCTTCTTAAGTCGTAATCAGCGACAACATAGGCAGGGGAACAGGTGTTTTCTTTTAACACGCAGTCCCCTGTCATGTCATGTGGGGGGAGTTGGAGCTGCCATGTCAACTCATATTCTCGCAAGACTTCACCCTGAAGAGAGAATAGGCCGACACGGACTCCCCGCGCCTCGCCCTTTCCTCTCCTTTTCATTTCTTATTGTGCTCGTTAATTCCTCATTTAAATACAGTAACAGCCCCAGCTAAAATTATCCCTTTGGCAAAATCTCAAGCAATAATATTCCATCTAGCTCATACATACCCAAAATTGAATTCGGAGCAAAATATTCCTCAGGAAATTCAAGAAATCAACCATGTCTAAATCAAGCAAGTCTCTCTACCCAGAAGTGATCGAATCAAACCCAGAATCTACTTCACAACTCTTATCGAACGCAGATCAAAGAAGACCCACTTCGTCTTCCTCCTCATCATCTATCTACCCTTCTATTGATTTGAAAGATCTAGCCCAAAATCTCTTTCCGGACGACGACAACCACGACGTTCAAGTTGAGATTCAGCAGGCTCCGGACAGTCAGAGGAGCATAGCTTTTGAGTCATCCGAGGAAGTAATTATCAAAATCCCAGGTGCTATACTGCATTTGATTGATAAAGAGCAGAGCGTTGAGCTGGCAAATGGACAACTCTCAATCGTTATGCTCCGGCAGGGTGATAACGTTGTGGCGGTGCTCGCTAGGATCGACGACGAGATTCAGTGGCCCTTGGCTAAAGATGAAGCTGCAGTCAAGCTTGACGAATCCCATTATTTTTTCACTTTACGAGTCCCACCCGAAAGTACTGACGGTGTGGGGAGTGAAGATAATGTTTTGAATTATGGGCTGACAATCGCTGGAAAAGGGCAGGAAGGATTGTTGAGGGAGTTGGATGGGGTATTGGAGAAGTACAGTGCATTTAGAGTGGAGAAGGTGGCGGAGAAAGGGGCGGCTGAAGGCTGGTGGGCGGTGGCGAAAGATGTCTCGCCGGAGGAGATGGAGAGAGATAAGAAGAAGGGTGAGTTGGTGGAGAAGAGCTCTGCTGCGTATTGGACTACGCTGGCTCCTAACGTGGAGGATTACAGTGGAAGTGTTGCGAGGATGATAGCGGCAGGATCAGGGCACCTGGTGAAGGGGATATTGTGGTGTGGAGATGTTACCGTGGATAGGTTGAAGTGGGGAAATGAGTTCGTTAAGAGGAGGCTGGGCGCGGGAACAGAGTCGAAGGTCAGTTCTGAAGCACTTAGGAGGATGAAAAGGGTCAAGAAGATGACGAAAATGTCCGAGAAATTGGCTACGGGAATACTTTCGGGGGTTGTGAAGGTGTCTGGATTCTTCACGAGTTCAATAGCAAATTCAAAGGCAGGCAAAAAGTTTTTCAGCCTTCTTCCTGGAGAGATTGTGCTGGCATCCTTGGACGGATTTAACAAGTTGTGTGATGCTGTTGAGGTTGCTGGGAAAAATGTGATGTCAACCAGCGCAGTTGTAACAACTAACTTTGTTTCTCAGAAATATGGGGAACAAGCAGCGGAGGTGACACATGAAGGACTAGGTGCCGCAGGGCATGCTATTGGGACTGCCTGGGCTGTGTTCAAGATTAGGAAGGCTCTCAACCCCAAGAGTGTAATAAAACCTTCTACTCTTGTGAAAGCTACTGCTGAGGCCAATGCTGCCAAACTTAAGTCTGAACAGAAAAAGTAACAGGAGATGTATGCTCCTATATCTCCTCGAGAATTGTCTGCGTGGCCAGTGTGTTGCTTGTGTTAGTAGTGTAGGCAGTGGTTTGGTTTTCTAATCCCGCTAGCGGATTTTTCTTGATACAAGAGAATGTAAATGCTAATGACAGTAATTTTCTCTGCTTTGAGGCACTTCTTCACTCCTAATACTTTCCCTGCATCCCTTTGTTTTGCTTAGAAATTCATTAACTAGACCAGTTCGTATTGGTTTCAGAAGGAACACGAAGTATAAGCTGCGTTCAGTTTGTCACCAATATCGTTTGCAAATTCTGACTTTTTAGCTTTAAGCTAATAATCATCCAACCTCTTACTTTCTAATCTGTTTCAACAACAATAATATTAGTTAAAAAGGTATAAGAAGATTGACAAATAATGGCATTGCCAGCATCCTGGTGCACATCACGGAACTGGTTTAATCTTAAACTTAATTCAATGTGTATTTTTCATGCGTTTACAAACGATTCAACACGTGTCTGTAATTCTAAATAGAGAATACTTTTCGCTTAAAGGTTCTTCTCAACATCGAGTTGTTGAGGATTTCCCAGTCCTTCAAGTGTCTATTTCTAGCATGAGCCTGTGAAAGAACTAAAGCAAAAGCAAAAGAAGTAAAAAGTGTTTAAAGAAAAAAAGGGATAAGCAGCATGGGTACCTGTTAGATCTGGCCTAAAGGTACATCTTAAACCTGCATTCCTGACTTCATTCTAATGGAGAATTCAGTCCAGTCCTGCAGTTCTTTGGGACTAGAAGGCTAAAAGTACAAGCTTCGGCCTTTACTGGTATTACAAATAAGTTAATGCTTACATACAAGTCTCAGCATTTAACACGCCAGAATAGTTATTATGCTAAAAGATCACATACATAGCGCTCTTTGGCTTTGCCAGGCTCTCCTCCAGGATGACAGTCTTGATCAGCCTTTGATTCTTCTTTCTTCAGCGCACATTTTGGATGGAGATCAAAGTTGCATTGATCGCAAAGGTAAGACCATCCATGTCCCATCTCCTGGCAGCCCTCACAAACATATGCAGTACGGCGCTCATGCTCAATATGGTGTTCATGCTTCAGTTTCTCAGGCCACCCTTTGCCTGTTCCTCTAATTGCTTTACACGCTCCTCAGTGAACGGGTAGGCATCTGCTCCATAAGCTTGTATAAGCTGCCTGGCTTGCGTACTTACTGTCCTCCCATTAGGTCCAATTGCTACCACAGCTGGAATGCCTTTGATCTTGAACCTACGTTGCAGAAGCGCCTTTCTCTCATCACCAAATGGAAGTGCTAACCACGGCATGCCTGAAAAGAAATCATCAAAGGATGATTGATTATGATCACTCGAGATGAAAATTACTTCAAACGCATCATCCTTAGCCTTGATTTCCTCGTACACCGCAATGAATCGAGGTAGAAAATGACGGCATGGAGGACACCAGTGAGCTGAAAAATAGAGAAGAATGTTCTTCCCAACGAGTTCAGAAACTGGAACCTAATTAAGAAGAAACAAACTTCAAACAATCAGGACAACGTTGATTGAAACAAAGATCACCTCCACTTTGATTAAAGAACTTAAAGCCACTACTACCTTTGATCCATCTTTAGAGATGACAAAGTCCTTATCTGCAGAAATAAGAATAGACTCCAACGTCTGTGCTTCAAGTTTTGCCTTTTCTATCTCAGCAAGCTTAGCAAACTTTTCAGGCGTAAAAGGGTAGGCCTCATCACCATGTTCTTCAATTGATTCGACCACATTTGAGTGGAGAGTCTTGCCATCTGGACCGATTACAACTAGTGTGGGAAGGGTTCTAAGTTCAAAGTGCCTCACCAGTTTATCACAGGTCTTGTCCTTAAAAGGCAAGGCCAACCATGTCATGGGTTCATAACAATTTTTGAATTCTTGTTCATCATCGTCTAAAGACACAAGCACAAGTTCAAAAGCTTCTCCTTTCTCTCTAAGCTTCTTATACACTTCTAAGAGTCTATCGGTGAAATGAAGGCATCCTCTGTCAGAACTCACTGAGAAATACAGGCCAACTGTTTTTCCTTCAAGCTCCGATACAGGAATCTAGTAAAACATAAAGGATATGATGATTCGTTAATTATCAATCACTAGCCACCTACCTAAAACCACAACATATAATCCAAAACAGAAACGTGGATAATGAAATTCAAGAAAAGAAATCATGTTTCACCTTGTTTCCATCATTTGAAATAAGATAGTCACGCGAATCGTGCGTCAAGATAGACATTAAAGATTGTTCCCTTCTAGCTCTCTCTTCTTCCTCTTTCAAATCATTAATTCTTTCTGGGGTATACGGGTAGCCATCAGCACCATAGTCATAGATGATCCTAACACCCTCTTCAGTAGAAACCCTCCCACTCCCATCAAGGATCACCAGATGCGGAATTCCCCTGACTTTGAACAACTCCTTCAGACTTTGCCTTGTCTCCGACTCAGCAAAAGGAAAAGCAAGCCATGGCATTTTTTTGAAATAAGCATTGAATGATTCCTCGTCTCTATCAGAAGAGACGAAAACAACCTCAAAATCAGCATTACTGGAGAGCTCATCATAGACTTGCACCAAATTTGGGGTGAAACGTAGACAAGGGCCACACCATGAACCTGAGAAATATAATCCGACTGCCTTTCCAATCAAAGACTCGATTTTTACCTACAAAAAACCGATCACGATGCTATTTTCAGATGCATTCAGAACAAGCTCTTGAAGATTCAATCTAAAGATTCTATTAAAAACTGGGACAAGGTACTCAACTCAACGAAATAAAACATAATTAGCGGCTAGATAAAGGACAGATAAGAAATGGGCCTTTGCAAAGGAAAAAGTACCTGATCACCATTATTTCGCACAAGAAAATCTCTCTCCGGTGAAGAAAGGAGGGAGGTAATATCATGAGAAACTGTTTCTTCATCCTTGTTCAAAGCCATCTCTAGTCTCAGTGGTTGATAACTCGATATCTGCAATAGTCTGGATTGGTTTATACGTAGTGTAACAACATATACATATATTCCCAGACTTAAATTATGCTACATAGTACTGCAGGTAGATGTGAACCGTCCAAAAGCAATCGCTCTTGATTGGCAACTTAACCAGAGATGTTATGGTATTGAACCAATTAGCAGCAATGGTGACAGATTAGTTGCAGCAGAAGTGAATTAACTCCTGACGAATTTGAATGGAACAGGGAATGGAGATGATTATTGGAGCTTCAACTTCTCATTAACAATAGGTATGTCAAATACAGGAACAGAATCAACGGATTTAGGATTGAAAGGGAAAGATTGAAGGAATTAAGAGAGAAGAGAGGAGGAAGTTGGCAGGGCCAATTCCACTTTACAAACAATGGAAATAATATGACAAAAATCTATGCTAACTCTCGGATTCTTCAGCCTTTTATGGCATTTCCAGACTAACTAACTTGTAAACTAGCTAATCAGGTGAGGCCACGTGGAAGTTCTGGAATCATCAGCTCCACTTGCGCCAAACAGAAGTATAATTCTGTTATATCAGGTAGAAGGCGTGATTTGTAAGTCACGCCTTTCTTCATCAAGTTGAGCAGCTGCGCCTTCAATGCAATCTGGAACACGCCTCCTGTTTATTCTTCATACTCCATGACAGAGCCTCCCCCTTAAACAATCCTTGTCCTCAAGGATGTCGAACAAAGTTCCAAGCTTCCAAACAAAGTCTTCGGATTGATATTTGGCAATTCGCAGCAAGCAAGTAGTATAAGAAAATGGCAAAGCTTGCTGATTCTTCTGTTTTAGCTGAGCAACAAGAGCTGAAATTCTAGAAGTAGCACCACCAACCATATATAATCTTTTAAGAGCAACTTGATCCGGATAATGCAAACCAAGGAATTTCTCTACTGCCTTTAAAAGGTCTTGCATGTTAGCATCAACACACCCAAGCAAGGTTTGAAGTCCTGCTGTTACTCCTGGATTTGAAACAGATAGGAGAATTCCTATGTAGCCATTACAGGCCAAGCCAGCCAGAAATTGCAGACCAAAGTACCTATTTGCAGAAATTGCAGAAATTGGTACCACTGTTCTAGTACCAAGTAAAGAGTTCATGTCAAATGATGACTCAACTTCCATCTCTTCCATGTCAATAGTGTCATATGTCATCCGCTCCTCAAATTTCTCATCAGAACAATTAAGGAACCAAGCAAGAGAACATTTCAAACCCTTCTTTCCAATCATTGCATGTCTTGGTTTAATAGTTGACTCAAGACCATAAGTGAAAAAGGCTGGGAAAGAAACCAAGTCATCCAACGGTCTTGCCATTTTTCCCTGGAAGTAATCAAAGCTTACTTTCATGACATCAAGATTTAGAGCAAGCAGTTGGGGACAGGCCATCACCATCTTTCTCACTTGTTCCAAGGAAAATCCGCATTCCTTGAGGAAATCCAAATGCTTCAATATGGCAGTATTATTGAGGCTGACAATCTGTGGCATCTTCTCTACAACTCTCCCAAAACCAACAGGATCCAATTGGATGATTGAATTAAGAAAGTCCCTTCGAGTGCAAAGTCTTGTTTGAACATCTACTCCTATAATTTCAGGATACTGTGCAATGACAGATGCAAGCAACGATTTCCTAACATTGAACTCTAAAAGGGACTCAACATTTGGCTTGATCCTGTCTTCAAGTCCAAATCCAAGAATAAAAGGTCTTTTCTCTATTAGTCTAGCTATGGCTAATTGTGGTATTCCCAAGCTTTCTAGATAATCCACAAATGGTTTGACTGTACGGCCAACTCTCACTCCTAATATTTGGGGGTATCTAGTTAGTAGCCCACCAATTTCTCTCCTTGCGACCCCTATTCCAACCAAGTAAGCCACTAAAGTACTCATGGTGCCTTCCAGCTTAAACCCCAATACTTCAGGATACTTCTCCAGAACCCGAGGAATATCATTTGGCTTGATATCCATTCCTTGAAGATACTTAACTACCGGTGCAAGATCGACAACAACACTAGAATGGAGGACTTGTGGGTATCTACGCAAGAATTCTGTAAACGTAGATTTTTTAACACCCAACTTGCCGAGGTAATCAAGGACGGGAACCATGTTTTTCTTGACACTGTAGCCAAGAACCAGTGGGTAATTGTTTATATCCTCAACAGTGAGGCCTAATCTGTG